GGGAGTAAAGTCACTGACCCAACATCTTAGCACATTTAAAGGGGTGCCTACAATAAATTAACAGCAACTTAATCGAATTTAACAGTGCCTTAACTGTTGAGGCTTAACACCTGCCCTAGAGCCCCAGGGAGAGGTGGGTCCCTCTAATCTGCTTCAAATGTATTGCTCTTTTATTATTTTTTTTATATTACTTTACGTGCTTTCCCTAACGAGAGCCTGTCATAAGATGAGTATGAACGGCACTGACAGAAATCATACAGTTGCTAGTTTGGCCCCTGGGTGTTCCCCAGAGGCCATGTGTTGAAGGTTTCGTCCCCAGCCTGTGGTGCTGCTGGGAGGTGGTAGAACATTTAGGAGGAGGGGCCCAGTGGAAGGAAGTTAGGTCACTAGGGGCATCCCTTGAAAGAGATATTGGGAACTTGGCACCTTCTTTACTCTTCCTTCCAGCAGCCATAAGGTAAACAGACTTATTCTGTCACACACTTCTGTCCTGATACACTCTCTCATCACAGGCCCAAAGCAACAGGGTCAACCAACCATAGACTGAAACCATGAGCCAAAAATACACCTTTTCTCCTTCAGGTTGACTTATCTCAGGTATTTTGTGACAGTAATGAGAACCTGACTAATACAGTGGTCAAAATAAAGATGATAGGGCAAGTAGGTTTTGAATGGGAAAATAGTTCAGTTAAAAACCAATAAAGGGTATCTGTGGACAAAAATGAGGAAGAGTGAGTGGGTGAGCGTGTGGGAAGTTAGCAGACAGGTGGAGTAGAAGCAGTGGTTTAAACTTCCAGTAAGGAGAGAGCCTTAGTGACAGGCAACTTGAAGCTGTGAGCTTTGGACTGAAGCCTGGAACTGGAGGCTTCTGCGTCTGCCCTCTGCTGTGCCTAGGACTGACCCTTACAAAACCAGCCAAGACAAGGGGCTGGGGATGACTACATGGGTCACAGGATTTTTAGGGCAGTGGAAGTGCTGTGCGACACTGCAACAATGGATACATGTCATATATTTGTCAAACCCACAGAAGGTGCAACATCAAGGGAACCCCACTGTAAAGCTATGGACTTAGAGTGATTGTGACAGGTCATCATAGGTTCATCGGTTGTAACAGGTGTGCCGCTCTGGTGGGAAGCATTGGTCATGGGGAGGCTGTGTGTGTGGAGGCAGGGGGTAGATGGGAAATCTTTGTATTTTCCTCTCAATTTTGCTGTGAACCTAAAACTTCTCTTTAAAAAAAAAAAAAACCTAAACAAACAATCAAACAAAAAAGTTAAGCCAACAGATGAAAGATCCACAAAAATGGAGAGAGAATGATGTAAGTGGACGGGAAGATGAGAATTCTCTAAATTAATCGAGAAAGTCAGTGTTACAAACTCAGTGACCTGGCTCCTCGTCCATCATTGGGGCACTCTGGACCAGGTCCCTGCTACTGTCCTTGGCCTTGTTTCTTTCTTTGGCAGTACTGGGGATTGAACTCAGGTCCTCACACTTGCTAGGCAAGTGCCCACCACTTGAGCAATGCCCTAGTTCCTGACCCTATTTCAATGGCCTGCTTGGATCCAGCTTTGTGCTCCGACAGTGCCCCCTACAGCCTGCTTTGCACATAGCAACCAGGGTGGTGCTAAGTCTGATCACGGCAGTTGTGTGCTCAAAACTGTCCACAGGGGTCTTGTTTCGCTTGGCTAGCAGCTAAGTCCTTAGCTCAGGCCACTGGGTCATATGCCCCTGAACTCCATCCCCTCAGCTCTGCCCTCCTCTCCCATCCCCCTCTGCTTAGCAAGGTCCCTCCAGGGGCCTTTGCACTATGTGCTCACTTCTTCAGTCTATATTGCTCTTCTCCATGACATCAGCCGAGCTCCCTCCTTGCACACTCCATGTCACCTCAGAGTCATATCGGCTCACCCTGAACAAAACAGCACCCTTCCCCCAGCCCCCATTCCCTGTACCCTGCCTTCATTTTCCCAACAGCACTGACCACCACTCAACAGATCACAGTCTGCCTAGCGGAAGCTAAGCCCCACAGGAGGGGCAGCTAGATTTGTGTTCCTTGAGACCTACTCGCAGATCTTACAACAGGGCTAATAGTTCCTATGCTGGCCTGGCATGTGTGTGCCACATTTGGAAACATTTATTGAGTGACTAGATAAATGAACAAATGCATGGGATACCAATAAAATTTGTAATAGAAATTTTCTAGAAATCAACTCGTTGGAGCCAGGTGTGGTGGTGCACACCTGTAATACTAGCATTTGGGAGGCTAGGGCAGAAGGATTGAGTTTGAGGCCAGCCTGGGCTATGTAGTGAGACCTGTCTCAAAAACAAATGAACCAAAGAAGTCAACCCATCAATTCTGAAAGAATCGATGCAAGAATAAAGGTGCACAGATAGCACAAAGACAATTATAAAAAGGAACAAGAGGAAGTACTCGCCCTACAGGATACGCAGTTGCAAAACCACAGTAAGTCAGATACTAACCTGGGAACACAGAGCACTGAACAGAACAGAGTCCACAGACAGACTGACTCAGCACAGGTGGGCGTGGGAGGGGATGGCAGAAAGAATCACAGATCCACCCAGAAGGGACAAATTCTTTTCTTTTGAGATGGGCTCTTGCTTTGTGGCCCAGGCTGGTCTCAAACTCCTGCACCCAAACAGTCCTCTCACCTCAGCCTCCTGAGTAGCTGGGACTACAGGAACACCCCACTGCACCCAGCTAGGAACAGATGTGTAATAACAGTAATGGGATAATTATTTCACCCACATGGAAAACAGCATAAAACTAGATTCTTGACAGGCATGGTGGCTCACACCTGTTATTCAGGAGTCAAAGACAGGAAGTATCATGGTTCAAAGTCAGCCCAGGCAAAAAATGCAAGACTCTACCTAATAAATAAAGCAAAAAAGGCTGGCAGAGTGGCTCAAATGGTAGAGTGCTTGCCTAGTAAACACGAGGCTCTAAGTTCAAACTCCACTACTGAAAAAAAAAAAATAATTCTTACCTTATAGAATCATAATTACAAAGATTTGACATTTAAAAATTCTCCAAAATTATGAGAAAAAAAAGATATTATATGGCTTCGTGGTAGAGAAGACTTCCTAAGGACTCACACATACAAAAGGACAACAAAAGAACAAGATAGTTTGGGTTGACTTAAATATTCAAAACACTTAATATGAAAAAAATAAACAGATCTAAAAGACAAGTAACAAACTGGAAACTATTTGCAACGTGTACAAAAGAACAGTAAAATTCTTCCTGTAACTCGCTGAGGGAAAACCAAACAACCCAGCAGGCTGCTGACTCTACAGGGCTCTGGGCTGCGGGCCCTCTAGGATAAAAGCTTCCAGGAGCCGGTTTCTATACAAGATGTCCCAGTGTCCTTTCTTACGGTGGTAAGAAGTTTCCATTGAAAAGACTTTTTGAATATCACATTTGGTCACTTAAATATGCAGTGGGAACTACAAGTGGGTTTTTTTCTTTTTAAAGAAAAAGACTCTTCCCTGTGTCTGTGTTCCTACAGAACAACAGCGCATGCACCTAAAGACCACGACAGAAAAATAAACAAAATGTGCCATTTATTTAATAGAATATAGTGGTTATAATTAAATAGGTCCATACATATTAACACAGACAGCACCCCAATATATGGTAGATAAAAATAAAGGACACAGCTTGATGAGATTTACGTACATCTTTAAAGCCTCGGATCAGACCGTGGCCTTAGACTCTGGAGAAGTGTAATAAAGGGGAGGACGCACAGACTCGCTCTGAGGCCACCCGTGCAGGGACAGTGCAATGAGGCCTGGTTAAAGGGAGCACTACTACACCTAATGCTTTATGTCTTTACAAAAGGAAAGCTGTACTTCTGGACGGCTTTGTCCTTTTCAGTAATTTTTTCAGGTTTTTATTTATAGTGTACTTCCTCCGGTGCTCAAATTCATGCCCTCTTCCAGGACTGACAGAGAAGCTGGCAGTACTGGACACACTGAGGATGGTTTAACACTGAACTCCGTGCGATTCAAATGTCTGAAGGAGATGTTGATCACAGGTGATGCCAGCCATAACTGACAAGTTTAGCATTGATCCTCTTATGAGTTGAGACCCGCCAGATTCGCCAGCATGGTGACTGACGTGTGAACTACATGTAAGACACTCTTCATTCCGATGCAGACTTACCAAGGACCGATCTCATATACAGGATAAGCTTAATCAAAATCCCTTTCCTCCAGCGCCCTCTAGTGGAACGGGGAGGCAACTTCATGCGCACCTTCCACAAAAACCCACCCTGCTTTTTAAGGAAGCTTTGTCTTTCTCATTCTGACGTTATTATTTGGGGTCCTATGAACCATTTACTTTCTTTAAAGCCTGCCTCAAACTGGAACATTTTCAGCCTACAGGTCAGATAGGAAGCGAGTGAACACTGCTCTCGTTTCTCTGCATCAATCTTTTTGTCTTTCTTTTTTCTGGTTTCCACTGACTTGCCTTTTGCAAGCTGTCGCTTACAAAAAGCTGCTTTTGCCTTCTGCTCAGAGATTGCTTCTGTGACGCATTTTAATTGAGTGATGACTTAACTTCTTTCTGTTCCACAAACACAATCTACACACATAGGTATTTCAAACCCTCGAATAAAGAAATTTCAACAGCTGATTTCTATGTAAAACGTTCCAGTGCCTTTCATCATTTTACTTCACATAAACTTATGAACGCAGGAAGCTTTCATTGAAAAGACTTTTTGAAAATCACCTGTAGTCCTGTAAACATGTAGTGGGAATTAGAAATCATTCTCTTTTCCACACTGGATGACATAGTAAAAAACAGTGTCTGACTAAGAGCCAATAACACAGACAAGGCATTACAAAAAATAAAGAAACAAGGTTATTAATCCCCCAACTTGCAATACAGAGTTCCTTCACCCATTCACAATCCAGAGATGTAACCTACCAGAGAAGGGTGGTAAGGTTATTTGGGAAAATGCCATCTGCATCCGGACAAAACAGGTCTTTTCTCAATGGCTTTCTGTTGCTGTCTGATAGGGCTATGATGTCAATGGAACTTTATAACCTGGTTTTTAACTGTCTCCCAGTCGGCACTAGCAGAGGACGGAAATACAGCAAGGCAAAGGCACTCCCTCTGGAGCCTCAAAACTGATCTTGATTAGACTTAAACTCAGTGGGCTTCGGTCACTCTGTTCAGATGTTCCCGGAGGTTCATACAGACACACTGAATCACTGGCTGTCGCCCTTCCTCCAAGTGTATGACAAAGAGACTAATCCCAGTGTTGGGGCTCACTGATGTAAGTTCAAATTTGCTCAGAGCTGCTGGTAAGGAACATCTGAGGTCAGTCAGAAAATAATCAAACAGGTTCCTCATGAAAGCACCATGGCTGACAACTAGGACGCTGGCTGCCAATCCTGGGCCGCCACCGCCAGCATTAAACTCTGAGTTGCTGCTTTTTCCTAAGGGAAATACCTCTGTCAAGCAAGTTTCCAGAGAGGTGCTTCGAGTTCCTGGGGAAAACTGCTCTTTTTGACCTGCTTCTTCCAGGACTAGTTGACAAAGAAATTCAAAGAAATCTTTTCCACGCATTTTCACCTAGAAGGAAATAAATAAAAGGTAAAATAGTGATGTTAACCACTTCTTTAAAATATTAACCTACACAAGGTGCCAGTGGTTCGTGCCTGTAAATTCTAGCTACTCAGGAGGCAGAGATCATGAGGATTGTGGTTCAAAGCCAGCCTGGACAAATAGTGCATGAAACCCTATCTCAAAAATCCCATCACAAAAAAAAGAGCTGGTGGAGTGGCTGAAGGTGTACACCCTGAGTTCAAGCCCCTGTTGCAAAAAAAAAAAAAAGGGAGAAAAAATTTACATTGAACTCCAAAATCCCCTCAGAGCCAAAGACATCTTGAGGAAATAAAAAAAAGGCAGTAGGCACTACATTACCTAATTTTAAAATATATTACAAAGTTGTAGGAATCAAAACAGCATGGTCAAGAGTCAGAGACAGAAGGATTTCAGTTGGAGACCAGCTTGGACAAAAGTTAGCAAGACCTTATCTCAAAGACAAGCCAGGAGTGGTCAAGTACAACTGTAGTCTCAGCTACTCAGGAGATGGGTACCAAGTTACAAGCTAGACAGGAGCTATGAGTTTGGGTGGGTATTGCACAGTAGGGTGACTGTACATGATGATTACATTGTAAAAGACAGAAGAAGATTTCAGAAGTTTTCATCACCATAAATGAGGAGATAGCTAAGTGTAGCCTGATCACGTTACACAATGTGCCCATGTGTTAAAATGCCACACAGTACTCCATTGATATGTACAGCCTCTGTGTTTGCATTTATCAAGTGAAAAACAAATTGAAATTTGAGAAACCCACACAAGTGCATGGTTTTCTTTTCTTCTTCTGATTTTCTTTTGGCAATACTGGGGTCTGAACTCAGGCCTTTGAACTTACTAGACAGGCATGCTACTGCTTGAACCCCTGACCTTTTTGCTCTGGTTGTTTTGGAGATAGGGTCTCGCTTTTTTGCCCAGACCGGCCTGGACTCCAGTCTTCCTATTTTACACTGATATGACAGGTGCATAGCACTCCCAGCCATTGGTTAAGATGGGGTCTTGTGAACTTTTTGCCAGGGGTGGCCTGGAGCCACCATCCTTCCTTATCTCAGCCTCCCAAGGAGGTAGGATTACAGGCATGAGCTACCACACCCAGCTACATTTTTGTAATAGGTCAACCTGAGTACTACGTAAACCAACGATCCTTGATCTATGTTCCTGTTCATTCAGTCAGTACATGCACTGGCCTCCACAAGTGCCCACTACATTTCTGGAAGCCATGGAGACAATGATGAGGATTCAATTCCCAATTCCAGCATCAGAGCACTCACAGCTAGGGAAAGGTATAGGGAAACAAAGCCACAACACAGAGGTTGCCAGGAACCACGTTCTGCTGGAACAACACATCTTTCTCTTACTACAGTGACATAGTCTGTACAAGAAAATACATCATCAATCACGCAATTCAAAGCAGAAGATGGGGAGGAAACTTGAGCATGGTGACAATGTCACTGAGGGCCAAGGGGCAGCAGAAGCTGAAGGCTTCACGTGCTGATGCATCTGACTCTCAGTGATCAACTTGTGCCTCTCAATGCCACTGTCCCCACCCATGGCACAGCTCCATATCCAACAGTTCTTAGAAGTATGGTCTAATAACATAGTTACTTAATCCATCAGCAGTAATGACAGCTGACCTAACAGTAAGTGAGAAACAGGGTAACCTAACAAGGAAAAAAATTATATTGTAGAGTTGTCTTATGAACCAAGCATTTTGAAAAACTATAATTCACAAACATCTGTACTAAATCAGTCAGGGCCAGGTGTAGTGACTCACACCTGTAATCTCAGCTATTTGGGAGGTGGAGATAGGGAGGATCAAGATTCGAGGCCAGTCTGAGCAAAAGGTCATGAGACCCGCCCCCCCTGCCCCAATCTCGATAAGCAAACTTGGCATGGTGGCACACCTTTAAGCCCAGCTATGTGGGAGGCATACAGGGATGAAGACTGCAGTCCAGGCTGGGCTGGGCATACACCTGAGAGCCTATTTGAAAGGACTGGGGGCAAGGCTCAAAGGGTAAAGTGGTAGAGCACCTGCCTAGCAGGCACAAGGCAGAGTTTAACCTTTAGTTAAAAAAAAAAAAAAAAAGAGGAAAGAAGGACGGAGAGAAGGAATGAGGGAGGAAGAGAAGAGAAGAGCAGAAAAAAGAAAAGAAGAGTCAGAATTCAGCCCTCCTAACACTGGCAAGTTCACCAGTGTGGCATGCTGGACCCATGCTGTGTACCTGGGCTAGTGTCTCTCCTCCGGGTGGGGTGAACATGGGGCACTCCTCCCCAGCAGCTTTGGCCATGGCTCGGAGCTCGCTCAGTG